CAGCATTTATATTCCTTGAATTCATATAATTTAGAAAAAATATATATCTCTTATTTCTGTCTAACTTCACCCACCAAAACAGCTAATCCAAAGACAAAAATTAAATAGTTTTTTAATAGCAAGAGAACAAAACCATAGCAATATGACAGGGTGTGGACACTGTCTCACAAATACTTCTTGTGCATAAAATAAAAACCAGTTCTATGTCTGGTCTTTTATCAAGGTCTAACTTTTCCATAGTTGATTTTTTAAATCTTTTAACTGTTTGCTAAGTGATATGAATTTTTTTGGCCTGTGCATTACACAAACATGCTATCCAAAACACTTTTTCTGGCATGTATCAAGAGCCATAAAAAATATTCATTGTTGGATCCAGAAATTCCACACTTAGAAAGATATTCTAAAGAAACAATTTAAAATGTGGGCAAAGCTATAGCCAGAAAACTTATCACTGCATTACTTAAAATAGTAAAAAATGAAAACAAGCTAAATACTAAGACAGGCATGATTAAGTAAATTATAGTAACCTACTTGATAGAATTCTTTTTATAGCAATTGAGAATGATAAAAGACAATATAAAAGCAAGGAACATGATTGTTACAATTTTTATTTAAATAATTTTTACTATAAAATAGTTTTTTGTTCAATTAAAGAAAATCTGAAAAAATAAAGAGAATAGAAAAAAGAAATATTATCCAGTGGAAAAAACAGAATACACACTTGTATCTGTGATATGGTTACAATTACTTTTTTTTTTTTAAGAAGCAGAGCAAAAATATTAGAATGTTGTCTTGGGTTTCTTCTTTTCTTTCTTTATCAAACTGTATCTAATATAATTTATAATGAAAAAATATATTTAAAAAATAAAGCACCACCTTCTTATAGACAAAATTTCTTGTCTGGTTTACAGAGGCGCCTCATGCCTAGTCCCATCCTGTGATTTTTTTTTTTCTTTTTACTGTGTGTATTAAACATTGATTTTACTCTCAGTATCTCTCCCACAGCTACTCCTCAGCCAATAGCTCATGGCATTTGATACACGGGAGGCATTTCTTGTTTTAAAGATGGATAAACTAAGTTCTGAAACAAGTTAGTTATTTATTTAACTTCCCCCAAATAATTCCATAGAATATCTAGAAATGAAAATAGATCCTTGATTCATTTTTTTCCCTGACCTTTGATTTAAAAAAAAAAATCCAAGTCCCTGCAAATTGCTGTCACAAAGTTTACTTATGCAAAGTTGAACAAATTGAATCAAGACATGGGACAAGGAGGTTAAACCTAGGACACCTTCACTGGGAGCATTCTTCCATTCTTGGTGCCCAGAGGATCCTGTGAAGAGTGGAAATCAAAGGACTGCTCCATGGTCTTGCAAGATTGGTAGGTACTCTGACTTTATAGATGAGAAACTGAGGCTGCGAGAGTTGAGCCAATTTGTTCAAGGTCACAGGGCTAGTAACTGGCAGAACAGAGATAGATACCACAAATGACCATCGACAAAAAGCGTAGACGCTCTCCCCTCCTGATAGCATTGCTGTGAGGATCAAATGATGCAAACATCACAGAAATGTATGCTGGAAATGGAGGCATCACCCCTCCTCAGGATCACCCATTTTTCCTATGCCTCCCACAAATAGAACAGAGATGGTAACTGTAAAGCTTTGTGAAAAAAAACAAGAGACTGGTAATATCCTGTTACAATTTTCTTTTTTAAAATGTCTCAAATCTTTTGTTGTAAGGAAATTCTGATCTATGAGATGCTGCTTGAAATAAATGAGCCACTGGCCAGAGCTTGGAAATGTTTGCCATATGAAGAAGGTCATTTGTTATTTGGCATCTGTAGATACATTATTATTGTTATTTAATAATAATTAGTAAATTACTGACAAAATTAGTAAATTTAACATCCTCTTTTGTGAAAACCAGTATTTATAGATAATTATGCCCCAAGCCTACATTCTGCTTATCATTATATCCAGCTCCAAAGGAATATTTGGGGGGAGGGATTCTTCCTAGATTTAAAAAAGTGTACTTTTCGGGGGCGGGGCTTACTCTCCTCACTCTCCGTTTAGTGGTAAATGAGAGGGAGTCTGGAGTAGTGCGAAGCCAGGTTCATTCTATCATCACTTCCAGTCCTGGCTCTGTGCTGCCCCTCGGTAAATTTCTTAACCTTTCTGGGTGCCCCTCTTCTTACCTTTCTCCTCTGTCCCCCCTAAGCGTGAGAATCACTTTCCAACACTATGCACCTGACAGATAACCTGATCTCAATGGCTGAATATTTTTAATGTGTATTTATTTATTTGAATTAGTAATACATCCACATGGCTCATAACATAAAGTATGTAAAGGGGAATTCGGTGCCATTCCCCTCCCACCTGCTCCTTTCTGGGTGTCCCTGTCCCAGTCCCCAGTTTTATTTTGCAAACTCAGAGGCTGTGAAGGGCAAAAAAATATATAAAACAAAAACAAAACCCAAGATGACTAGATTTACTCTGAATGGACGGGATTTATTCTAAGGTGATTATTTGTCCCCTTCAAAGTCTCCGCATGTTTTCTGAGACTTCAAACAGCGACACTAAACTACTAACTAATCACAGCACAAGAAATTTTGACTTTGAACTTGCTAATGTGCAAAGGAAATGGTTCAGCCATTTCTCTAGAACTTGGCTGATAATAAATTTTCTATGGTCCCATTTATCATGAAAAAAATTTTGTTTGGTCTTTTTTTTTGCTGTTGCATAAGATAGAAGGAAAAAAGAAAGATGTGTTTTCTACTGCTTTAAGATTTTATACCTTAGGCCAGAACAAAGCACACAAATAAAAACTTTAACAAAATGACCTTAATTTCCCTCGGCTAATTCAATATTTGTAGTCCTTCTGATTAAGATTGCTTACCTCTGCATTTATTTGTAAAGAGTATGTTAAGCAAATGAACAGTGGTGTAAGGAGGACAGTCACACAATTAAGATGCGTGTATGGTCCCGCACCTGGCACATAGTAGGTGTGCAGTCATTGCTGTATAAAACGTCTAAATTATTAAAGCATGCTTGAAGCACGGCAATAGTAGTCAAATATTTTCCACAAACCTTTAGATTTACAATGCAAATTAAAAATCATTTTTAAAAAGCATTCTCTAAGGACTTTTTTTGCATGACAACTTTGGATTAATCTAAAAAATAGCAAGTTATTTTGCAAGAACTGAGGAACACCACTCCCTTCTCCCGGTATCTGACACTGGAAGTTTATTGTGCAGGAAGTAGTGATCAAAATCTAACTCAATTCATTTAGGAAAGTAAGGTAATTATAACGATATCCATCCCCCTTAAGGAAAGGGTTTAGGCTTTAAGTACACACCACAGGCCACACTCTATGGATCATGACATACAGTCCAGCGTTGGAGGTCGCTGCATTTGTTTATTTATGAGTGAGGTTTTAATTTTTCCTATTCTACTACAATTAATTAGTGAATTAGTGCCATTCATTCATTTACTCAGTCCACAGACATTTGCTACGAGCCCACCAGGACACAAGGCTGTAGATCCACCCCTACCCTCGTGGAACACACAATCCCAGCGAAGAATGACGTTTTAATAATCAGCAGGGTAGTGCTTTTATGGAGCTTTACCGCTCGCGTCCCGACTAGGTGCCTGGGTTGACCTCAGGCGGTGGCGGAGCCCGTGCCTGGGGTACGGCTCTCCCTGGCTTGCCCCGGCAGGGCGGGGTCAGCCGAGCAGCCGCCGTCGCTGCCCCCGCGCGCTCCCTTCCGCGCGGCCTTTAATTTCGCAGCTCCGACCACCGGAAATTAGCCGCCGGCCGAGCGGACCCGGCCCAGCGCGGCTGAGCGCTACGTGGGGAGGGCGCGCCCGCCAGCCCAGTCGGGCGCCCGCGGGACGCGCCGCCTGCGCCCTCTCGGCCGGGGGCTCGGCGCTCGCCCACCTCTTCCAAATTTAACCATTACCTAAATCCGAAGGGAAATGAGCAAACCTCTGGGATTGGGTGTCAAGGTATTTTCAGCCTTGTTGGGCGTATTTATCCCGAAGTGTTTCCACAACAAGCTATTTCGGGGCCGCGGGGCAGGTTTCGCTCTGCGGACGCCGCGGCCACTCGCCGGGCTCCAGGCCGGCGGCACCGCTGGCGGGTGATTCACGGCCCCGACCCGGGGGCGGCGCAGCCCAAGCAGGCAGCGGGGTTGTGGGGGGTGTCCCGGACCAGATGGGCGGGGAGGCTTCCTCGGAGCTGGGCGCTCCCACCCCCTGCGCTCCAGTCAATCTGTGTCCTGAATCTGTGACTTCTTCTCGCTGCGGAAGTCTCCCAGGAGCCAAGAATAGTTCATTTTCTTTCGAGTCATTTCTAGTGCCTGGGTGTTTGGGCCCTCCGGGTCTCCCCATCTCCCGCCGTCCCGCAGAGAAAAAACGGGGAGGGCCGCAGGGGAGGGCGGCTAGAAAAGCCAGGCCCCCGTCCGCCTCCTATACCCTTGCGCAAAGGGGGAGCGCGCCCGCCGCCCGACTGGGGCTTGGGGGGCAGGTCTGACAGGGCTAAGCGAGCTACTCTTTAACGCTCAGGAAGTGAAGCTTGTGGTTTTGGGGGCTGAGCTCGGAAGATTAAAAAAGGAGAGAGAGAGAGAGAGACAGCGAGACAGCGCGGTCTCTCCCGAAAGCAACTCAGTTTGAAAACTCTCGGAGCGCGATACCCGCGCCCTGACCCCGCAGGTAGGTCCGCTGCGCCTCCCTCCCTAGCGGGGGCGGACGCAGGAACTGGCGGGACACCGGCACTGCGGGGGCGACCAGAGGGCGCTGCCGGTTCCCACCCGCTGCCGGCCGCAGTTCGGGAACCAAAAGAGCTCTATCCTCTCGGTCCCCGCGCGACCCGCACGGAGGGGCTGGGGATCTGGCTCAGGGGGCGTACGCCAGGCGGTTTGGTGGTTCTGCAGAGGAGCGGGATCCACCGGGAAGGTAACATCTGGTGGGGAGGCGGCGGCATTTGGGCTCAGGAGGCTGCCCGGTCTGCGCCTCCAGCTCCCGCCTTCCCAGGCCCTGACCGTGAAGAGAGGCCCGGCTGGCCCGCGTGCGCCGAGGAGGCCGCCCCGCCCCCGGGCGCCAGCTGCTGCGAGAGGTCGCCTTCCCACGCGATCAGCCCTTGGTCCTACCACCCCTCTACCCATTCCACCCTCCCAGGAACGGACAGAGCCAGCCAGGATGAAAAGGAGGCGCAGGGCTGTGGCCTGAGTCGGGAGGTCGCTTCCGTGCCAGTCAGTCCAGACTCAGCGGTGGCGGGGACAGCTCACCACCCCCTGCATTCCCGCCCCTGTCCCGCTCCGCGCCAACGCAGACCCAAACCGCAGCAGGGCCCTCGGGACATTTTCGCCCCATTTTCCTTTTCCTCCGAGTTTTCATGGTTGTTTAAGAAATTGGTTTTGGATTTGTGGTGTCTAAGTATACAGCCGACGGAGCAGCTCACGCCGGGGCGCAGGGAAAACTGAATCGGCAGTGCTTCGCCCTACGGCAGCCGAGCACCTCGAGGCCTCCTGAAGCCCCGACACTTAGGGGCCGGCCCGGGTACGGGCGGGCAACACCCTCAATCCTAGGGGCCTTCTGGCGTTTAGGACACGGGAAACGTCACTTGAGACTCAGCTATATGTCCCAGCTGTCTTTTCTCTCAAGCCTGTCCATTCCTCCTCCGGGGAAGGGGACACAGTGGGACGTGGAGCGAGAACTCGTGTTGATTCCGGAGCGCCAACCGGCAGACTTAGACTCTGTCCTGCATCTTGCTCTGGGAGCCGCACGGTACCTGGCAGAATAAGTCGCGCGAAGCTCAAAGATGAGGGGTCCTTCCCGGACCCGGGATCCCCAGGGCCCTTGTTTCTGAAATAACCAAGACAACCGAGAGCTGCGGTGCACGAAGAGCCTGCAGCTCGCACTTGAACCCGTCCCCCATCGCCTTCACCCTGAGAGAAAGGCAGATTCGTTTTCCCCAAACCTCCTAGCCCGCCAGGTCCCGCCCCCGGAGCGAGCCCCAGGAAAGGCCGTAGGCGCTGCCCCGCCTCCCCGCCGGGCTCAGGTTTCGACCCCGGGATTAGGTGAACTGATTGGGGGGTTAATGAGAGCGGCGTAGCGGGCAGCTAGCTCCCTCCCAGACCCGCGCCCCGATCCCGACTCTCTAGCTGCTGCCAGAGCAGCTTGCGCTCTCCCGCGTCTTCTAAACGGTTGGTTCTCTGCGGACTCCAGCACACCGCGCGTTTCACAGCCGTAGCGCGCGAACCCGGCTCGACTTCCCCAGGGCAAGGCTTTTGGTGAGCAGAACGGAAAGTGCTTTTTCCCGGGACTTTGTTTCCGAGGTTAGGTCTCCATGGTCTGGTGTGTTTTGCGCCGACCCCTGCCTGTTCCCTCCGCACCCGCGTCTCCGGGCCAATTTATTCCCCGCGTGGGGTACAAGTGAGGGGCGATCAAGATCACCGGGAAGCGAGTTCTTCCCGGGGCCTTGATTGGTCCTCTGCCACCTGCTTCCCTACCTTCCTGCTTTCTTTCTCCGGCCTTTGCTTCCCCCAGTCCTTCTGATGCAGTTCCCCCGATCCCGCCCCTCAATCAGCCGGAGGCATCTCTCCCCTGACCCCCTTTCACTACAGTCTGTAGCCGGCTCTTGGAGGGCTTGGTTCTTTGCCTCAACCCGGTCCGCGACCGTCGACACATTCCGCTCTCCCCCGCCCTAAATGGGTCCGCGCGTCTACGCCTTTCTCCCTAGCCCAAGAGCGGATCCAGACAGGCAGTGTGTGGTCGAGTTGGGGTAACTGGCCCGTTGGGGACTTGGGCTCTCGGAGAGTTTGATTACCAAAACGAGTTTTGCTAGGGAAGGGGAGGGGCCGAGGGGCGTGGGCAGGGCAGAAGGAAGAGGCCTGAGTCTGAGCCCGGGGACGGGTTTTACCGCTGAGCGGCGGCGGCTGGCTTGCGCCACCTGTCCGAGTGCCACCTGGTGAGCGCGGCGCAGCGGGGCCAAGCCCCTCCTCCCGCGGGCCTTCCTCCCTCCTCCCTGGCCCGAACTCTGTCTACTCCGCTGCCCAGTCCCGGGTCTCGAAGCGTGCTGACCCGCGTTTCCACCCTGTTCTCCTATCGCAGGTCTCCGCCTGTCTGGGGCTTACGGTGGGCTGACGGAGGCTCCAGGGACCCTTGGAGCAGAGTGGGGAGCGCGCCCGACCACCATGCCGCGTTCGTTCCTGGTTAAGAGCAAAAAGGCTCACAGTTACCACCAGCCGCGCTCCCCGGGACCCGACTATTCCCTCCGCCTGGAGAATGTACTGGCGCCAGGCGGAGCAGGTGCGGGGCGTGCGCGGGCCGGGCGGGGCCGCTCCCGGGGCCATAGACTCTGTGTCCGCCACACCATCCCCCAGGAACCGGGAAGGGCGGTCCCGAAGCCCCTTTGCTGCCTTTTTTGTTACCTACATTTCAGGTTCCTTCCGGGCTTGTCGCCTAGGTGCCAAGGCCTCTCTGCTCCCGCCCTTGGATCCGGGAGGGTTCCGGCCGGGTCTGGGGAGAGCTGAGGGAGCCCAGGTGCCACGGTCTGGGGGGCACCGCTTCAGAACCATCGGGCCCATCCAAACCCAACCTGAGCCCCTATCCTGCCTCCTCTCCGCAGACAGCACCTCGAGCACAGGCGGGGCGAAGGCGGAGCCCCGGGGCCGTTTGTCCCCCGAGTCTCAGCTGACCGAAGCCCCCGACAGAGCCTCCACGTCCCCCGGCAGCTGTGAAGGCAGCGTCTGCGATCGGAGCTCGGAGTTTGAGGACTTCTGGAGGCCTCCGTCGCCTTCTGTGTCTCCAGGTAGGGACCCGTTGGGAGCTCTGGGGCCCGGGCGGCAGAGACCCAGCGGTGAGGAATGAACCGGAGCGGCTTTGGGCACAGAAATGCCAAATGGATGGCGGAGAGTCTTTCCGAGAGGAGGGAGCTTGTTCTTGGGCCCCGCGGGGAGGCATCGGCTTTTCTGGGACAGGGACAGCCTGCTCGCGGGGTCGGCTGCTTGGATCCCAGGCAGTGCTGGGATCCCAGAATCCAGACCCCCGAGTCTCAAACGGAGACCTGGGCAGTCTGAGAGAAAAGTGTCGTTGCCTTTAAAAATTAAGCTCGCTGCCGCGGCGTTGGGCCTGGCAGAGCTGGGCGCCAAGCGGGAGGGACCGGTCCGGGACGAAAATCTCGGCCACCCGCTAGGTCTTCGCAGGCTCGGATTGGGGGCCTATTTCATTTTTCGTTCTACCAGGTTGGCCTGGCTTTGGGGACCAGCCCGTTGGTTTCATTTCCAGCCAGCAATCGAGCTTCGCGCAAACCGACTACACGTTGGGTGGGAGCGAGTCTCGGGTTCCGGCGTTGGGGAATGGAGAGCGCAGAACAGCGGGATTCTGCCAAGGGCCGGTTATTTCCAGATTTAGCTTACTAGTTTTAAAAGATACCCCCAACCCCGTCCCAAACTCAGTGCGTCGACTTGGCTAAAGAGAGTGCGTCTGGGAGCCGGCGACCCGAGGGTCCTTCTTGGCTGTGCAGAACACCGCCGCGCAAGGACTGGGCACCGCCGGAATCTCCGACGGAAACTCGAAATGCAGCTTCTCATTGAAGCGGCTAGCCTGGACTGGAGTCTGCGGTGTGTGTGAACAGATTTGTAAATCCGTATGCATTTAGGGAAAAGTATATATTGGTATTTTGTTTTAGCAAAATTCGCATGGGTCGGGGCGCAGAAGGCCGCGAATTCGGAAAGCTGTTTGGCAGGTGGTGACTAAACCTTACATTGTAAATCATTCCTCTAAGAAATTCGTGGGAATTTTTTTTTCCCTCTGTCAAATTATGACAGGACTGGGAATAGGGAGTATTTAGCAAGCCCGAGCCCCCTTCCCACTGGCCCTGCATTGGGTATTTAATAACTTTGAGAAATGTTAACGCCTTCCCGTTTTTTGATTTTTGTTTTTTCCCAGACAGATATGTCTCGGATAGGCCGGGCCGCATTTTATTGGTCCTCACTGCCTCCCTCCTTCCCGACTCCGGGAAAGAAAAAGGACGGAGTAGGAACACGTAGGGGCCGGGAGAGCGCCAGAGCTGGGCCCTCTGCCCACAGGCTCCGTCCAGGGCCGGAACGGCCGCCGCTTTCTCCTCCTGCGCAGCTCCGCTCTGCTCGGAGCATTTTTGAAGCGTGGCGCGTCTTTCTCTATGGGGCCGCCAGATGTGCTGGTCCAGCCAGAAAAGTTTCTGTGTGCTGCCTTGTCGCCTCCAGTGTCCTCGAGGCCCCAGGGACCCGGCCGGCGTTTGAACCTGGGGGCTTCCCTGGCACGCAGCGAGAGGCCTGGCGCACCGAGTGCTGCACAAGGGCTGGGTGCCTGGCACTTCGCAGACACACCGACTGGCCGACACCGCCGGGTCTCAGGCCTGACCTAACCGGACGCCCTCTTGTTCCTCCACAGCCTCGGAGAAGTCGGTGTGCCCCTCGCTGGACGAAGTTCAGCCCTTCCCCCTGCCCTTCAAGCCGTACTCGTGGAGCGGTCTGGCGGGTTCCGACCTGCGGCACCTGGTGCAGAGCTACAGGCCGTGCGCGGCCCTGGAGCGCGGCGTCGGCCTGGGCCTCTTCTGCGAGCGCGCCCCGGAGCCAGGCCACCCCGCGGCGCTGTACGGCCGGGACCGGGCTGCTGGCGGCGCGGGGGCCGGGGCACCCGGGGGAGGCAGCGCAGGAGGCGGAGCTGCCGGCGGCGCGGGCCTGGGGCTCTACCGCGACTTTGGGCCCGCGGCGGCAGGACTGTATGAGAGGCCGGCGACCGGCGGACTGTACCCGGAGAGCGGCCACGGGCTGCACGGCGACAAGGGCACCGGCGTCAAGGTGGAGTCGGAGCTGCTGTGCACCCGCCTTCTAATGGGCGGCGGCGCCTACAAGTGCATCAAGTGCAGCAAGGTGAGGCTCCCTCGCGCCTGGCTTTAGCGGTCCCGCGCCCCCGCCCCCGGCCCGCGCCCAGCCAGCGTCCGCGCCCCTCGGCCCCTCTCAGCGGCCCTCTCCCCGGCCCCACCCGCCTCAGGTGTTCTCCACACCGCACGGGCTCGAGGTGCACGTGCGCAGGTCCCACAGCGGCACGAGACCCTTTGCGTGCGAGATATGCGGCAAGACCTTCGGGCACGCGGTGAGCCTGGAGCAGCACAAAGCCGTGCACTCGCAGGTAAGCGCGGGACGCACGGCCGCGCGCCGCCCTGCTCAGGTTTTCGCGTTCCGGCATCTTCTGCTTCTTTGTGCAGCACCGACCGCTCTCCGCCTGGCACCTTTCTCCTTGGACTTGCCCCGACTGCCCCCAGTCTCCTCTGCCACGTCCCCTTGCTCAGACGTAGGCGTGCAGGGAAAGGTGCGTGGTTGCCGGCTCAGGACTCGAGGCAGCCCTGGAGTTTGGTATCACATCATTGTGAGACTCCAGAATGTGATCCCCATCATTACTTTGGGTTTGAGAAGGGCTTGTATGCACTCTTGCAGCGGATATGTCAGATTTATTAGCGCTGTTTCTTGGCCTCTTTCTTTTCACCAAATGGCCGTCACTTAATCTGCATTGACCCCTCCTGACTGAAGAAGAGGAATCTCAGCTCATTTAGAGCATCCAGTATTTGTCCCTCTGTTCTTTCAGTTATTCACTTATAAATATTTGTTGCTCAACTTCCAGGTGCTAGGTACATGAGAATCCAGTAACACACCAGGTCCCTGACAGGATACCCTCACAGAGATTACAGTTTAGCTGAGAGATAGAGGCTACGTAGATAAGCAAATAAGTTCACAAGTAACTATGACAGAAGAATGCTTACTTACAGAGACCTATTTACTAAAAAGAGTATTCTCCCGTCTCTTTCAACATCCACACTGGCTGGGGGGAGGGGGGAGGAGCCTCTCAAGTGACTGAGGTCTAAGCCTTCTGTTGAGGAGGGTGGAGAAGTGTTTGTAAATTGGTGTCAAAAAAGCAGGGTGGGGATACGTTTTGGCAAAGGGGTGTGGAAGTTTGTGGCTGAAAAGTGTTTGGGTTGAAAAAGTGTTAAAGGGGTAGAAGATATGGGTGGGAAGGGTGGAGGTTGGAAATAAATGGGAGGAGAGAGGATAATGGGGCAGGCTATGGGGAAGGGGAGTCTGAAGGAAGGGAGAGCCCTAGCTTTGGGGATTTTAGTGTCAGGTTGGTGGTGAGGAGAATGGCAGCCTAGACCATTGCAATAGTAATCACCTCTTTCTCTCTGCAGGAACGGAGCTTTGACTGTAAGATCTGTGGCAAGAGCTTCAAGAGGTCATCTACACTGTCCACACACCTGCTCATCCACTCAGACACCCGGCCCTACCCCTGTCAGTACTGTGGCAAGAGGTTCCACCAGAAATCAGACATGAAGAAACACACCTTCATCCACACTGGTGAGCTGAAGGCCCTTGGCTTGTGGGAAACACCTGTTGAGGGGTGGAAAGGGGGGCTGGAGGTCATTGTTTTTCTCCCTGAGGCCAACATAATTCACCTTCTTTATGATATTCTTGCCCCAGAATGAGTGGTGGAAATGGCCTTCCAGATGGAGTTAATCACTGCATGTGTGTTAAAAAAAAACAAAACAAGAGGCACAGATTCTCTTAGGTTCATTTACATACGTGGTTCTCCCCAGAGAGGCTTTGATTGGGGGTTATATCTGAAGAACCACTCAGCAGGTCAGCTGCAAGTTTTCTATCCTTGCAAAGAATATTTTCCTCTAGTTTAGCAGCTGCTCCAACTGCTGCCTGCTCTAGGTGAAATATGAAGCTCCAGGGTCCTCTCAGAGTGTTGCTCTAAATGTTTACCTAGAGATTGAGACTTTCTCTAGGGCTACCACCCAGCCTTTTGGGGGAGGGTCTTATGTGTGACCTCTTGGCTACATTTTTAGGAGTCTGACAGCTTATTCTGACAGAGCAAGGGAAAAAATGGTAACTATTACTAGGCTTTTTCTGCTAAGCGCTTTTAAAATGCATTATCTCATTTTATGCTCACAACAACTCAGGGAGGTAGAGACTACTCCTTATCCCCATTTTAGAGATGAGTAAAGTGAGGCACCCACCCAGGGTCATATTGCTAGCAAGTGGCAAAGCCAGGACTTGAATTCAGGTCTGTCTGCTCTCAAATGTCTATCCTGTTGACCAGTGTTTATTATATTCTATTTTCAAAGCCAAGGGGATTGGTGGATACAGAAAGCTTCTATTCACTTATTGCCCTTTTCAAAATATCAGCCAGTTTGTCATAACAATGATAAGCCTTTACCCATTATGATGCTTTATAATGTACAAAGTGCTTTCAAATCTATCTCTTCATTTGATTCTTACTGCCGTCCCATATAGTAGAAGGAGCTGCTCTTACCATCCTGAAACTCAGAGAGATGGAATGATTTACCAAAGGTCAGACTGAGAGTAAATCATAGGGCTGTGGAATGCTCTGGCTTCCAATCCTGAACTCTTTCTCTAATGTTTTGATTGTGTGTAGGTGGCAGGTTTAATGCCAGGAGCACTCTCTTTAATAGTCAACAAGACATTTAAACAAGATCCAGAATTTTATTTTATTTTAGAAGATGAATACTGACTTAAAACAAATTGCACTGTGTTCCAAACAATCACCGTTGATGTTTACAAATATGCTTGGGCAGTGTAGATGCCCCCATCAGAAAACCTAGAAAAATATCCTACTTTAATCATGCTCTCTTGCCTGAAATTTCCATGCAACTCGCTCCTTTTGAGTAAAGGTATTCAAGACGCTCACCAAAATGCAACTAGGATCTTGACTGAATGAAACATTAAGCCCTTATCAAACATTTACATTATAGCTAGAATTCGTTTCTCAGATTTATTTGACCCTAAGGGATAGGATAAGTTTTGATGATTGGTTCCTTATCAAGGAAACCTGAAGCACAAAGATAGAAAGGGGTACAGCAAGAGGAACAGAGGGTTCCTCAAAAACAGACTTAATCTATTTTGCATTTTTTCCAAGGCCAAACCCTGACTATAATGCCATGCTGAGGCTATTTGGAAAATCATGCTACTTTCCCAAATGTTAAACAGCATATGAATTGGGGGGAAAACAAACCCTTTTCTGTAACTTATTTAAAGGTACTTTATTTTATTTATTTATTTTTGGCTGCGTTGGGTCTTCATTGCTGTGGATGGGCTTTCTCTAGTTGCAGCGAGCGGAGGCTGCTCTTTGTAGCGGTGTGTGGGCTTCTCATTGCGGTGGCTTCTCTTGTTGCAGAGCACGGGCTCTAGGCACCCGGGCTTCAGGAGTTGTGGCTCGCGGGCTCTGGAGCGCAGGCTCAGTAGTTGTGGCGCACGGGCTTAGTTGCTCCGTGGCATGTGGGATCTTCCCGCACCAGGACTTGAACCCGTGTCCCCTGCATTGGCAGGTGGATTCTTAACCACTGCGCCACCAGGGAAGCCTATCTGCTATTTATTAATATATGGTGAAGAGTTGCTGGTATATAAAGAATCCTGTGATTAACCTCGTAAAAAAGAGAGTAAAATCAAGATAGAAAAGGATCAGCTGCCTTAAGAAATACTTTGTGACCCAGATGTGGATTTTTTTTAAAATAAGACTTCTAGAAATGCCCATGCTTTCAAATACATCCTGTTGTCCTCCAAGAGCAAGAAAGAAGACAGGCTCACTGGTCCATACAAACCAACACCCACTTGGAAACTCAGATTTGAAAACTTCCTCTCAATTAGAGCAGAGTCACGTGGTTTGAAAGACAGCACCCCGGCCCCTTGCGCTGAACATCTGCTGTGGGAGCTCTCTACTTCTAAAGCCAAGGGAGTCCTCCCAGGGCGGATTCAGCTGTGTGTCTGGGGAGGGCACGTGGCCTTTGTTGTTTCCGTTTAGCAGGAAACGGTTTGGGGCCTCTGGCTGGGAACCCCCACCTGGAGATTCTCCCTTTCACCTTGTGCACCCCTGGCTTCCCGGGACTTGCACTGCCACACACGGCACCCTCCAAGCTGCTCAGAGGCCCTAGACTGTGGTGCAGCCAGCCGCTGCCAAGAGCTTGCGGGTCACAGTGAGCCCCCTCTAGCTCTATCATAGACTCATGCTTCCTCCCCTCCCCCTTCCATCTCTGTAGGTGAGAAGCCCCACAAGTGCCAGGTGTGTGGCAAGGCATTCAGCCAGAGCTCCAACCTCATCACCCACAGCCGCAAGCACACAGGCTTCAAGCCCTTCGGCTGCGACCTGTGTGGAAAGGGCTTCCAGAGGAAGGTGGACCTCAGGCGGCACCGGGAGACGCAGCATGGGCTCAAGTGAGCGCCTTGGCTGGCTGCAGGCGCAGTTACGCAGGCAACACTACGGAGGGCAGCCTTCCCACTTGCCACCAGCCACTTCCGCAGATCCCACCAGGGTGATCCCCCTTCCCTTTTCTCCCTGGAGCCGCCAGAGGGGATAAGTTACCTTTTGAAATTTCAGCCTGGAGTGGGAACCAAATGACTGCCTGGGTATGGGACTCACCCAATAGGCTCCTCTACATCTGAGGACTCCAAGTGGAGAGGCAATCAGATAAAATACCGGGCCTCACAGTCCTTCCTATTCCCAGCCCTGTTCCACAGATAGGAAGGTCCTTCAGGTTTCTTCCCTCCTCCTCTTGACCTACCCCAGATACTTGTGTGGAATAGGAGGAATCATCATTTACAAGGTAAACATATCAATGTTTTTATCTGGAATGAAGAATGAGTGTTATTTTATTGTTTTCCTTCTGGGGAGTTTTTTGACCCCTTTTTTGTTGGGTGCTGCCTATAAAGGTTGGAGGAATTGTTTCTTCCACTTGGAGACTGGTTCAGAAACTGATTTGGGAAAGGAATTTCATACTTTTGAAATTACAAGATACACTGTGGCTCCTGCCCCAAGAAGGAGCAGAAGAAAAGTCGGCTTGGTGAGAAGAGATTAGATGTCCTCCCTCCAGGAGGCCTGTGAAGGCTTCTTCAGAAGAGGTGGAAGCACAGAGCAATGCCTTTGGACAAGATTGTCATCCATTCATTCAGCAAATGTCTATAGACCACCAGTTACCATGGTTTCAGGCCCTATGCTAGGTACTGGGGAGCCAGGGAGTAAAGTCTCTGTCTGCCTCTGCCCCGCAACTCCAAGTAGCTGGGTCTATTCTCCCTCCCCCCACAAAGGAATTCTGAGAAGGTAAAACAGAATCTTGAAACTTCCCTTCTGACTGTTTGGATTTTATCAAACGTAAATGAAAAATAGCTGAAGAGATACTTCAAAGATTTTTGTGTATATTCAGTTTTTTTATTGTTAAGCTGATATTTTTAAGATGTCTAAGCTAGCAGGCACGTGAAGGCTCTGTCTTCAACTCTTTGAACCCTCCATGCGTACCACAGAGGAAAAAAAAAGTGGTGTTTTTACTATGATGAAGTTTGTAAATGTTTTTAGATCTGGAGTGCATTATGTTTGTTAATACATATTTATTAGAGAGGTGTTTTAAGTTAATAAAGTATTAAGACTCTTACATATTGCTTTTCATTTAGGCAGGGAATTTGGGAAAGAACTTTGTTTTGGCCTCTAGGGGCAGTTGGCACTGAAGGAAACTGGAGCAGAGTATAAAAGTAAAGCAGACAAGCCAACATCCAGAAGAGAGTAAAATCCAATTGCTCTGGTTTTCATGAGCTTTTTTCTTTTCTTCTGTGCCTGAGCGCCTTCTTTCTTAGCAGAAGAACTAGGGATACAAAAGTAAGTTCCTACCTTGCCAAGTCTCTGATGTCCTACATGTATATGGGCTTTTTATTCTGAGAGGTTCAGGTTTTTTGTTTTTGTTTTTAAACAGGCCAGAAGGCTCCCAGATGAATAAAGGCGTTACGAGCCTTAGGTCTAGAGACTGAGTCTTAGTCACGACTCTGTCACCAACATACCATGTGACTTGGGCAAATCCTTTGACCTTCCTGATACTGGTTTCCTTTACCATAAAATGAAGATATGGTTCTATCATCACAATCCAAACCTGACTACTTTGATTCTCTGGAGACAGAGGGGAAAGAAAATATCTGAGACTGATTAGCTGCCTCACCTAAGGCAAGTTATAAATCTGAAGACTGATGAGGGGCAGTAAAATTGGCATCTGGGTTATTTCTGGCTCTATCCCACCTTTGGGAATAAATCAGTCCTTTAAAAGAATGAAACCAGAATAAGGTCCTGGCCTAAATCCCAACTACCTGTACTCTTTCTAATACCCAGCCAAGGTATTGCACAGCCCATGGTGACCATCAGGAGCTTGTCCATTTCTGTTCAAATCAATTTCATCCATATTGATTTAGCGCCGAGCCTGTGCCTGGCACTGCTCTAGGTGCTAGGGATACAGCAGTGAACACAGTGTCCTGTGGAGCTTTATATATTTGGTCACTGCTGAATCTTCAGCTCCCAGAACAATGCCTGGCACACAGTAGGAGATCAATAAATATTTGCTGAGGTGGTAAGTGAATAAGCAGAGAAAATAAACTCCTGCTTCATCCTGGCTGGCTCTGCTCTCTCCAGCACAGAGGGAAGAGAAATTGCTTGAGGGCCAAGGAAGCAAATAGAACACATAGGACTCTCCCTGGCTTTGAGCATGCTTTTCTCCGGTCTCTCCAAATCTCGGTGTTTGGCTATCCTCACTTGGTTTTCAACACCATGTCTTTACATGTCAGTTTACTCTCATTCAAAATTGAAATTTGTTCACTCTATAAGGCAGTTTAAGATAATTTTCCAGAACTGTTGGGTGAACAGTTGCAGCATCCAGGAAGCTCTTTCTAGTGTCCTGGGAAACAAAGTTCCCAGTGAATAAAGATCACAAAACGACCTTCTCACAGGATTCACTGTGCACATTGGTTGATTATTTCCAACTTGGTTTGAAAAGTAAAGAAGTTACATTGGGGGGTAAGTAGAACTGATTGAAATCTAGCTGGCTGCCCTGTCCTGCTCTACCCTTGTGACTTTTAGAACTTTGGTCCATTTTCATAATTCCTATTTATGCTATAAATGTGGAATTTTAATTTTGATGTTAATAGTGTGCTTTTTTTTGGAAAAAAAATATCCTGATATCCTCAGTTCAGAATCAAAACAAATTACTGCGCCTGTTACTGTGTGAAATTTGAAGATTGCAAATATCTCTCTTAATGTTATTACTTGACTCCATTAAAAATACATGTGAATATTCCATGTCACATTATTCATGAGGCAGGCCCTATGCCTTTTGTCCACTGGAGTAACAGTAGAAAGGGTAACAAGAGACACCAGAGCACACCTTTGTTTCTTTCACTAAATTTTTAATAACACCTCCAGCTAGCCAGTTGGTGAAGCTCAGCTCTTGCATAAAAGTGGAAAAGCACAGCTATCTCAGAGAAGACCAACTCTTTCAGTAGCTAATTTGAGTTTGCGTTCATCTACACCACAGATGATTAAATTACCTATCAAGTGTGCCGAGCTATCAGGATTCAGGCCACGTAAAAGGTGAAATTCATCTGATTGATTTGAGACACGAATGGAACAATTGAGCTTTAAAAGCCCCGCCTTAATTAAAGGCATAGCAAAGTATCACTGGGTGAGTTCTTGAGTGCCATTGCCCTTGAAAATTGGGTGTCGATAGTGATTTTTTTTTTTTCTATTGAAGTGTCGATAGTGATTTGACCTGTGTCATTTTGTTGTGTGCCTGCTTGTTTAACCTGATCATTTAACAGAAAGAAATGAATTGAGAGGAAGGCCGAAAAGGACTTGACTACTTTTTACTGTGCATTTCTAGAGCACTATTTAAATCTCTGCTGCTATATGATTTCTAAAGTAACAACTTTTCAGGAAGTACATAATACACTTGTTCCTTAACGTTTATTCAACATTTCATTCATTGAGTCCATTTTTTTTTTTTAAAAAAGGAATTTCATCCCAAACCCTTCTAGCTTCCAAGCTTATGTTAACTTTTTAGTGCTCATTTCCAGTCTACCCACGTGTGTGTATGTTTATGTATTTTTTACCCTGCTATCAATTTATGTCTAGATAGCTCTTATTTATTGATTGATAGTGTGGACACATGTTTGCTTAAAATGGAAATATTTATGTTTCACAATGAGAATTTTGACCATTTTATGGTTAAATTTTATTGAAATCTTAGTAGTTATTAGGGATTTTATCATCCATTAAGATGAAGTCTATTCTGAAGTTTTATTTTAAAGTTATTCACTTTTTAACTGAAACATATCAAGCATATGGGAAATTAAAAAGACTAATACAATAAACGTCAGTTTACCCATTGCTCTGCCATATTTACCTCAGACTTTATTTTTAAAATAAAATATTACAGACATGGTTGACTAACTTCTGGAATATGTTTATCCCTTTCCTGTCTCATCAGAGGCATCCACTATACCAAAACTGGCACACTATCATCACCGTGAATATTTTTATACCTTTACTTATACATATTCTCATAAACAACATGTAATACTGTTTAGCATATTTTAACTTAATATAAATGGTGTCATAGTGTATATATCCTTCTGCACCTTGCTTTTTTTCCCTCAATACTTTGTTTTTTGAGATTTATCCACGTTGGTACATGCATTTTTGTTCAGTTATTTTAACTGCTGCATATAGAATTCATTGTATGAATACTTGGTGACTAATTATGTATTCTCCTGTTGGGAGAGTTTTGGATATTTCCAGTTTTTGTTGTCACAAACAATTCTGATGCAAGCAACCTTTTACATAACTTTGTGAAAGAGATTCTTCAGGGTATGTTCTTGGGAATGGGAATGCTGGATATTACCAAATTGCTCTCCAAAGTTGTACCAATTTACATTCCCATCAATAGTATGAGAGAATTCCTGTTGCTCCACATCTTACCAACACTTGGTATTGTCAGACTTTAAAAATGTTTGCCAATCAGGTGGATGTAAAATGTTAATGTAATTTGCATTTCCTGATTCCTAGTGAGGTTGAGAATCTTTTCATAAGTTTATTGGCCTGACAGGTTTCCTTTTCTGTGAAATGCCTATTCATGTACTTGGCCCATTTTTTTGATTGGGTTGCTTGCTTTTTATCAATGAATTTTTCTATTGGGTTGCTTGCTTTTTATCAATGAATTTTTCTATTGGGTTGCTTGCTTTTTATCAATGAATTTTTCTGTGCTCTCACTACTCACTGTTTTGTTAGTTAAATATGTTGCACACATCTCCCAGTCTGTAGCTTGCCTTTTCATTTTGGTTGAAGAGGATTTGTTTGTTTTTGTTTTTGTGTTAATGTATTAAAATATATTTGTCTTTTCCCTAATGGTTTATGCTTTTTATGTCTGAATTAAGAAACCCTTCCCTAATTGGTGATCATAAGCTTATCCCCTATACTTTCTTCTAAAAGCATTAAAATGCTTACTTATAACATTAGCTTTTTTTTTTTTTTTTTTAATTGGCTGAGTTGGGTCTTTGTTGCTGCGCGCGGGCTTTCGCTAGTTGCCGCGAGCGGGGGCTACTCTTCTTTGAGTGCGCAGGCTTCTCAGTGCGGTGGCTTCTCTTGTTGCGGAGCACGGGCTCTAGGCGTGCGGGCTTCAGCAGCTGTGGCTCGCGGGCTGTAGAGTGCAGGCTCAGTAGTTGTGGTACATGGGCTTAGTTGCTCCGCGACGTGTGGGATCTTCCTGGACCAGGGCTCGAAGCCGTGTCCCCTGCATTGGCAGGCGGATTCTTAACTGCTGCCCCGGCTTTTTTTTTTTAATTTATTTATTTTATTTTATTTATTTTATTTTTGGCTGCATTGTGTCTCCCTTGCTCTGTACAGGATTTTCTCTGGTTGCGGTGAGTGGGGGTTACTGTTTGTGGTGGGAAGCCCAACATTAGCTTTTTAATCCACTTATATGTGTATGATATGAAATAGGATCTAATTAAACATTTTTTTCCTACATGGATAACCAATTACTCCAACATTATTTATAGCAAATTACATCCTTTTCCCTCTGATTTTTTTTTTTTTTTTCTGTACGAGGGCCTCTCACTGTTGTGGCCTCTCCCGTTGCAGAGCACAGGCTCCGGACGCACAGGCTCAGCGGCCATGGCTCACGGGCCCAGCCGCTCCGCGGCATGTGGGATCCTCCTGGACCAGGGGAAGAACCCGTGTCCCCTGCATCAGCAGGCGGACTCTCAACCACTGCGCCACCAGGGAAGCCCCTCCCTCTGATTTTAATGCCATTTTGCCATCATATGTCAAGTTTCTATTTCTGTATAGTTCTGCTTCTGGGCTTCCTGATCTGTTCCATTGGTCATTTTGTCGATCTCTAAGCCAAAGCTGTAGTGTCTCAATTAAACTTGTAATAAACTCTTAGTAGCTGGTAGGGAAGGCTTTCCTTTGACCTATTTCGTCCTCTTCAGGAATATCTTGGCTACCCTTGGTCCTTTGCTCTTGCTTGTGAAAAACTCTGTTGGAATTTTTATTTGTACTGCACTTATTATTTAATTGGGATGAACTGAAATCATTTTGATATTGATTCTTCCCATCCATCAATATGGTATATTGCTCATTTATTAAGGTCTTCTGTTATGTCTTTCAATAACACTTTATAATTTGGGGCATAATTTTCTGTCTTTTTTTTTGTTCACTGCTCTCATAGTTCTTTTTTTAAAATTGCATTTTCTGGGCTTCCCTGGTGGCGCAGTGGTTGAGAGTCTGCCTGCCGATGCAGGGGACACGGGTTCGTGCCCCAATCCGGGAAGATCCCACATGCCGCGGAGTGGCTAGGCCTGTGAGCCATGGCCGCTGAGCCTGCGCGTCCGGAGCCTGTGCTCCTGTGGAGAGGCCACAACAGTGAGAGGCCCGCGTACCGCAAAAAAAAAAAAAAAAAAAAAAAAAATTGCATTTTCTAACTGCCTGCTGCTGGTGTATGGGAGCAAAATTATTATTTTTGTATGTTGATCTTGTATTTTGCAACTTTGCTGAAACTTCAGTTTGTTGCAGATTATTTTAGATTTTCAGTGTAAGGTAATCATAAAATACGCAAATGAATAGTGGTCTTTCTAATGTACTCTTCTTACTGCGGTAGCTAACACTGTATTAAATAGGGGCAGAATAGTAGGCATCCTTGTCTTATTCCTAATTTCCTGGGAAATGCTTTTAATTTTTCACATTTTAGTATGATTTGAGGGGTAGGTTTTGGTAGATAACTTGAAATATCAGGTTAAGAATTTCTATTACTATTTGATAAGAATTTCTGTTTGTGTTCATGAGTATTTAATTTTATTGTATGATTTTTAGACATCTGTTGAGAAATGTGTGTTATTTAGTTTCTAAATCTTATGGCTCTTGTTCTTTAACTTGTCAATGTGGCAAATGACTTTCTGGGTTTTCTAATGGTAAATTATCCTTGCATTGCTGGGGGGAACAAACCCCAACTTGGTCATTTTGAAAAACTACATTGCTGATTTGGTTTGCTGAACTTTACGGAGGATTTTTGCGTTTATGCTTATTAGTGAAATTGGCTTATAATCTTTCTTTTTTATACTGTCCATATGTAGTTTTGATATCAAGGGTTAACTTCACTCAGAATGAATAGGGTAGCATTTCCTCTTTTTCTGTTTTCTGGAACAATTTGTGAAAGATTGAGATTAGGTGTTCTTTGAGTATTTGATAGAACTCGTCTGGGACTTTTTTTTTTTGGAAAGGGAAGGGGAGGGTATACTTTAAGCTTTAGTGACTATAAGTCTATTTAGTTTTTCACTTTCTTCCTAAATCGGCTGTAATAGATTATATATTTCAGGAGGTGTTTTGTTTCTTCTAAGTTTTCAAATTAATTGTCACAGTATTTAAAAATCATTATGAAATACTATGAAAAATCATAGTATTCTCTGATTTAAAAAAAAATCCCTACTGTACCCATAATTACATTCAGTATTTCATTGTAATATTGTTACTTGTGCCTTTATTTTTTTCTTGATCAATTTTGCCAAAGGTCTCTATTTTATTAGTTTTTGCAGCATGTTTTCATTTATTTCTACATCTTAGCTAAAAAGATTTCTTACTTGACAGATGTATTATTTAGAAGTGCATTTAAAATTTCTAATCATGCTTTTTCAGTAATTTTTTATGAATTATAATTTAATTACATTTTGATCAGAGAACATGACCTGCATGATATTAATTCTCTTGATATTATTTGTTGAGATTTATTTTGTAGCCTTATCCATGGTCAATTTTTATAGATAATGTATGCTTGAAAAGAATGTATGATTGCTGATGACGGTATAGTTATGCCAACTTTCCTTTTGTTGGTCTTTATGTTTATATGATTTACCTTTTAAAAGTCTTTCAGACATGAGTAAAATATAATTTCCAATCGAAGTCTTAATTTCTGATACTGTTTGTGTGTGTGTGTGTGTGTGTGTGTATTAAAGCATCTGATATTTTGATCACACACACACACTTGAGAGAAAAAAGTACTCAATTACTCTGTCCAAAAGACTATATATTGCTTTACTCTGCCAGTTCATTTTCTGGTATTTGAGGAAGGATCCTAATTTGCAAGGTTTTTAAAGCCTCAATTTTTTGTAACTGTAGAGGAGAAACAGCAGGAAGTTAGACTTGCTTCTTGATGTTAGTTCTACAAACTTCATTGAGAATTTTTTTATTTTTGGTAAATTAGGAAGCATAGTTTCAATTCTGTCTTTTAGCATAAATTAGACAATTTCCTAGGTTGCCCTTTCTGAGAAGTAGAACTGATTGACGTGCCTCTGTAAGATTTTGCTGCAATGGCAATTCCTCAGTTGTTCTTAGGGTAAGAAAGGCTGACTGCATATCTCCTATCTGCTGACTTTTGGAAGAGTCAGGAACCACCCTTTCATTACCTTTCGGTAGACTTGTCTATATCTTATCTCTTGGACATACCTTCCCAGAGATTTCACACAAACTTGACTTCCTCTTTCCTTGTACCGAAACTACCATTCACAGGACTCTAATAAACAAGGATGACAAGTTCTTAACCCAGCTGAGGGAGTCCTACCACAGTATCATATTTTTGCACGCCATCTTTCTGATTTATCTTTGTGTGGTCACTGGTTATATCACATGTTTAGGCACTAAAGAACATATAAAATTAAAAAATGTAAATGTAGAATCAGATGAACTCCAAAACTTTTTCAATCCAAAGGTTCTCTGATTTTAAGTTTTTTTTTTCTAAGAGTTTATCTAAAATAACAACTATAGAGACATGTTTCAGGTATGTCCAACTAAGTCCTTTCACTCAGAAGAGAGTTAATATCATGAAGCTATGGAAAAGAGATCCAGATCACTCCATTTCACCAGTTGCCCGGGGATGGAAGCTTTGTGACTAGCTATTTCATCTGATAATCTCTCCCCATCTGGTAATCTGTCTCTCCATCTGTAGTTCAGAGAAGACAGGAATAGACAATTCTAGTCAGTAGATGGTTATAAGTTTGTGTCAATGGACTGTGGTTCTGTGTTTGTACCATGTATAGATTATTACATTAAAAATCAGATTAGGGCTTCCCTGGTGGCGCAGTGGTTGAGAGTCCGCCTGCCAATGCAGGGGACATGGGTTCATGCCCCGGTCTGAGAAGATCCCACATGCCGCTGAGTGGCTAGGCCCGTGAGCCATGGCCGCTGAGCCTGTGCATCCGGAGCCTGTGCTCTGCAACGGGAGAGGCCACAACAGTGAGAGGCCCGCGTATCGCAAAAAAAAAAATCAGATTATAGCAAAGTCATACAATATTAAACCTTTACTTAATTTTATTTGATGATTCACAGTTCAAGCTTCAGGTGATTATTAGGTGTGTAGCAGTACTGATCAAGGTAGAGTTCTCTGGCTGACAGACTGCTGGGCACATGTGCTCTTATTAGGCACTTGAAATAGTGGACAGTAGATTAGGAGACACATTGTAGTCCAAGCACTAGTGCCAGAGGGTTAGCTGATCCCAGGGCACTCACAAACTTATACTTTGTGCATTGCTAAGGATCCCCTTGTGTCTTCATGGATATTTATTTTTCACTTTCACTCTTGGACCAAGACTGGG